CAAATTACTACATACATGGTTTAAAAGTTTGAAATATTTGTTAAAATTTTCTTTTAAAAGAAAATGCTTCCTTTTACAACACTTTGCATAAAATCAGAAATGTAAGTTTTCCAGTTAATCGGAAATAAATAACCCCCCCCAAAAGTGAATAATTACATTCTAAACATCATAAAGCACCAACTATAGTAAGATAGCTAATCAATTTTAAAATAATATTATTTGGCTTCAGAATTTTATTTTAAAAGTTCATACAAGGTCAGATTGTAAGGTTGTTGAATACTTGGGAAATCTATCGGGTGCACAATATGTAAGAAAAAAGAAAAGAGTGAAAAAACAAAAGCGAGTACATTTTCCATTTTCTAAAACCATTTAGTAGAAAGGTAACCATTTAATTAACTATTGGTTAATCAGTTAAACATGTAGAAGTAAACATTCAGATTGAGCCATAAATAATGTGATTCACATAAATCACATTAACAATATGATTTTGACATCTTTTGTATATTTAAAACATTTGTTTACTAAAAATTAAAAGTGTATTAAGTTTTAAATTAATTAAAATGATAGCATCTTAGGCACTTAATTTAAATTAAGGCATGGATCACTAGTTGGAAATATTAAAAATAACATGTAAAAGTAGTTTCATATTAATATCAAAAGTAGGCTAATATAAGCCTGGAATACACATGTGAGTGGGCTTTTAGTTGGTTGATTTTTAACTTCAACCTAGTTGTATGTCATGGACTACAGAGATGATGGGTTGCTTGTTCACACACACAAACCTTCTAAGACCTCTTTTGAGTGATTTGTTAACATGTTATAATCATGCAAAACCTTCCCATAATTACAAAAATACATACCCTTCTCAGCAAAAAATATCTGTCATTATTACTGATGATATATAGTTTCTTCCGATCTAACACTACATATCTAGATACTCGACATAAAAAAACTCCTTCCAAACTTCCCTAACTTCATCAATCCTCTTTAAACACCAGAAATACATATCACCAATTTGTACACCAGCCACTCTCATGACAAAGTCCTCTCAATGCCTAAGTGGTTTAACACTCATATCTCAGTCATGGCTGCAGGGCCAGGAAAATGAGCATCATGATGGACTCCTGCATTCTTCACATTGTGCTCATGGACAAAATCAGTGTAGTTCCTATATGCAGGCTGAGGTGGGGACAAAGCCCTCGTGTTCCACTGGTTTCCACCATGTTGAGAGCAGTCACTGGCAGCAGAGAGCCTGGATGGTTGGGGAGTGGGAGGGGAGCACAGTTAGTCAACAGGAAAAGGAGAAAATGAATGTGTAAGAGGTGAAAGAGAAAGTGAATAACATGCACCGTTATGAGAGTTTTCAACACTACTCATGCAATGATAAAATTTAAGATTAACAGAGGGAAATTCACGGTTATATGTAGTAGAAAACGTCAAAATGGAAATATGTATAAGTAATCAGAATCAGTTAAGTGAACTAAACAGCACAGAGGCGGGACACTCTGTTATCTATCCCTGATGTTGCTATCAAATTTGGTCAAAATATCCTTTGCATTTCTTTTTTTTGCCTTTTTGGGTAACACCCAGAGATGCCCAGGGGTTACTCCTGGCTCTGCACTCAGGAATTACTCCCGGCAATGTTCAGGGGACCATATGGGATGCGGGGATCAAACCCAGGTCAGCCACATGCAAGGCAAATGCCCTACTCGCTGTACCATCGCTCCAGCCCCTTGTTTCCATTTCTGAGAAAAATATTTCTCTACTTCAAATATTTGGAACAATCAATCCACAGAAGGACAAAAGCATATATACAGAAAAGGCCAATTGTAGAACCTATTCCTCCAATTAAATAATGTCATAAAACTGAAATAGGGAAACAAAATTCAAAATGAATTTAAGAAAATCTACCCTAAAAGACCATTTTACATCAGTGTTGCCTATTAACAAATGACAATTGTTCCTTCTGTAATTGAAGTTCAAAGAACCTCGGAAATTCAACAGGTACAGACAATGCAATGAGAATGTTAGTCCTCTCCAAAAAAAGTTTAATAAGCATAGTAGATACATCTTATCGTACAGAACTATACAGAAGATCCCACAGAATTATGAAAGTGAGGCATGCATATAAGCAGTTCTGGTGAGAAATGATCAGTCCTCCAGTAGAAAGTAAGCATTTGCCACAATTCAGAAAATTAAGGTTTTGTGACATGACAAATAAGACAGCATATATTTCAGATAACTGCAAGATATTTTTAAAAAATTCAACCAAAACATGATTCTTTAGCATTTTTCTCAAGAAAACTTGAAAACAAATTAACTTCAGAGAGTTTTTTCAGGATAAACTGAAATCTTTAACAGTATCATCATCTCTCCTTTATTGAAAATACTATTTATTCATTGACTCTAACCCATAAAATTAATGACCCTAAAACTAGGAACTCTAAAAATTTAGAAAATTATGTTCCCAAATATGCTTTGATGGTTTATAAGTGATTTATAGGTTTAAAACATGTTTGTTCAGCTCTCTAACCTAACAGATAACTCTTTCTCCCTCTCTCCTATTTCATTATATAAAACGTACTTCAATAAAATATACTTCAAAAGCAAGTAAAATTTGCTTTATTGAAAGATGAAAATTTAAATACTGGGTAGTTCTATGTTACTTGATGTAACAAATCATTCACTGAAAAAAATAAAAAGGTATCATTTAGACAATACCAGCAAAAAAAAAAAAAACTGAAAAAATTAGGGAATAGGTTAGATAGTTTAATCTAACCAGTTTAGGTTAAAAGTCACAGATGATCCCACTCATATGTAGAGTAAAAGGAAGTAAAGAAAGGGATTAGACTGTCCCCAACAGACTAATGGAAACAAATTCTGAGACAAGATGGGGCATTGGAGAAGGAGGTGGAAGGGATGATGAGTCACGAAACACTCTGGAGGATTAGAGTAATTATAAAATAAGCACTTCAGTACTATTGTAAACTATGGTAACTCAATTTTAAAAATTTAAATAAAATTAAAAGTCAGTAACAGAGCTTCTATATGTAAATTTTAAATACATAAACTGGCTACAAGTTATCTGTCACAGGTAGAATAGCTTATACTCTCTAAAGGAGGACTGTTTCATACTGACTTAAAAGTATTAAAAGTCAAAGCATGCAGAAGCAAAGAATGAAGCAGAAAAGCAGTTAAAATTAAATTCATAAGCTCTAAGATATATCAAATATATATTCAATACATGCCACTATTGACGTATACTTAGGGCTCATTAGATTTTTGGGATCATCATTTCCCTCCATTCAACAAAAGAGGTCTCAGTATAATTACATAAAGGACACACTATTTCAGTTTTTTTTTTTCGTTTTTTTAAAAAAATTCATTACTTTTTTTATGATCTATTTTAGATATTATGATTCAATATTACCTCTCTGAATTCTAAAAAGGAACTATTTATATGTACCTATCTAAATGAGAAAACTTAATATTCAGTGCCATAATAAAGAATGCAAGTAAACAAGACATTCACGTAAAAGTGAAAGGTGAACATATTTTAAGTTCATTAACAGTTAAAGTATTAGGGGCTGGCAAATAAGACAGCAATTGTAAGGCACTAGCTTTCCATGGTTCAATTCTCCACCACCATATACAATCTCCCAGCAGTGCCAGGAGTAATCCTGGAGCACAAACAGAGCCCTGAGCACAGTCAGATGTGGCCCCATAAATTAAAAAAACTGAAACTATTAATAGAATGATTCCTTATTAACAGGGCTTAATGGTAGCATCAAGAATAAAAACAGCTGCCTACCAGAGCAATGTTTTCAGAAAGAAACTGAAGAACCTCTTTTAAATGGCATAAGAAATTTAAGACTAAACTATGACATTCAGAAGCTTATTTAAAAACACAAACACAAAGTACCTCCACCACTCTCAAGTAGAAATGGCGATATGGACAGTGAGAAAAATGGAAGTGAGGGAAAGAAATTCCTTCAGTCTCAGAAACTAAAATTCTTTGGAAATAAAGCAAAAATATACCCCAAGCACAAGAACCAAAAGCACCTTGCAGTTAGTTAAGCCAAAATCACAGTGAAAAACAATTACATAGCAAAGTCTGAAAACAATCACCAACCACGGTTGACCCACCACCACGAAGGAAGAACTGGTTGCAAGAAAGTTGACCAAAACCTTGAAGTCACCACAGAAACTCATTTAAGTTCAGGTACTAAACAAACTAAGAGCAAGAGAAAAAGAGAAAAACTCTTGAATTATCAAAGTTCATTTTATAAAGAAACCAAACTTGAACACATGATGCAAGCAATTCACATGAACAATCAATCAAATAATTCCCAAGGAGCCCTCCCAAGTAAATAAATACTTATTTAGTGAAAGATGAATACCTTTGATTAACCCAGTAGGCCACAAAGTATCCATATTTGTATATTTACTATTAATCTTAAGAGACCCTAGAAATGTAAGCAAATGAAAAAAATATCTTCCCTATCATCTGTTTGTCTCTCCAGCCCCCAAAATGGAGCAGCTTGATCTTTATTCGACTGTAATCAAGTTTTTCATTTTATCTTTAAGCCTTTAATAAAGAAAACACACTCAATGCAGTAGAATCATGCATAGTGCACTGTTATGAGGAAAAACATGGAATGGGCATACACAGATCTGAGAAAAGGTTCTATTTACTAGCTTTGAAGTCTTTTTTTGAAAAAAAGAAAAAAAGTCACACACCCACTCACAGATCATGTTGACCAAAATAAGGAGAGCTGTCCAATGCTTCTTCATTTGCATAACAGCACTTCCTTCTTCACTTATGTCCCTTACTTTCTCTTCATTCCAATAATGATTGCTTAAAAACATTTCTTTTCAGCTTACAAATATGAATAATTTGTTTATAATCATACTAAAAATACTCTGAGATTATGACTGGGAATTTAGAGTATCATTAAACAAGAAAGCAATTTTTAGTTTGGTTTAAGGTGTTAACAAACCATTTCTTGTTGTGATCTGGTCCAGGACTCCTCTGAAGATTCTCTATCTCCACGAGCACAGGACCAGAGGGAACAGAAGAACTCACAGGCAGAGTGGCTCTCATACCCCAAGCCTTTGAATACAAATTTTAAAAGTCATCAATTATATCTAGAAAAAAGACCTCTTGACAAATACAGGCAGTATTAAATTGAAATATGTTTACATAGTGAATGAATTACTGAATGTTCTATACCACTTTAGAGATAATCTAATTGAATACTAGTATTTTACTTGACAGGATTTATAAAAATAAAAAATAGTTTATAGAGCACCTATTTTATTAACAATTCACAGGATAAATAAAATATAATGGAACTTAGGGCTGGAGTGATAGTACAGCAAGTAAGATATTTGGCTTGCACATAGACGATTCCCGGTACCCCATATGGTCCCTGAAGCTCACCAGGAATGATCCCTAAATACAGAGTCAGGAGTAAGCAAAAGAAAATAATAAGGGGGGATTATTAAGTCATCATACAGTAAGAAAATTAAAATGCATAAAATTTTCTCAAAATTATACCACTATAAAAATTCAATTAATACTATTGTTGACCATGATCAACTATAGTGCATTAGTATTTTAGAAGTCTAACATTGTCTTACCTGCTGGGAGCCATTACTCTGGGATGAAATATTATTGTGAATACTGTAATGGAAAAAAATATATATTAAAAATTATAATAATTCTAGGCTTTACATCTTTGGGGACAGAGTGATAGTACAGCAGGGAGGGTGTTTGCCTTGAATGCAGCCAACCCGGGTCTGATTCCCACATCTCATATGAGCCCCCAAGCATGCCAGGAATAATTCCTGAGTGCAGAGCTAAGAGTGACCACTTAACACGACAGATGTGACCCCCAAACCAATAATAATAATTAATAATTTTTAAAATGTAGTTGTTTGTTAATATAACAATTCAATATTCATATGTTGTAGTAATTAATACCCGTTCACATTAGTTTCAGAAAGAAAAATTTTCTCATTGTAAGAACTACCAAAATTTACTATAGTTTATTTTAAGATACATAAAATGCTTTATTTTTAATGAAACTGTTTTGTTTTAAACACAGAAAAACATCTTGTTTATATAGCAAACTGAAGTGAAATGTAACCAGAAAATATGTTTTTATAGGTTAAGCAACTAGCTTTCTAGTTTGCTCATTTATAGCTCCATAGTTTAATACTGCATCTAAAAGTTATATTTTCTGTAATTCTGTTTATTCTCTGAACATTATCAAAGATGGAAAAATGTAAACATAGCACAAATGATTCCTTAAATTCCAAATATTTTAGAAATATGCCTAAATAAACAAATATGTATATTCCCTACTCTATCAATATTTTTCAGGGTCAGCAATAGCTCAGAATTTTATAACTCAAAAGGCCTTAGTATAAACTTGAAAGTTAGAAATTTCTCTGTACTGTCTTCTCCAAATTACCTTACGATTAATTTTTTTTTTGTTTTGTTTTGAGGCCATACCCTGCAATGTTCAGTATCATCTTCCAGATTACTTGTTTCTTCCCCCTCTAAATGGGAGAACTTCTAGTAGGCTATCCAAAAAGATGAATAACAACATAAAGTTATTCTGGGGCAAGGAATCGAGATAGTTCAAGGATGGAAGCTCAGACCTTGTATCGATCACCAGTACCACACTGCCCACCAACTTGCCCTGACACTAGCCACATCCTAATGTGCTGCTGGTCATGCCACAAGGCTGGGTTTCACTGTGCAGTGCTACTCTGGGACCGACAAGACAGCAAAAGAGGTCCTCTACCACACGCACACAAATTTTACTTTTGGGGCCAGAGATAGTTCAAGGGTTACGCAGCAGCCAATTGTGGTTCAATATGTGGAACATGTGGTCCTCCCCACCCCCCTAAGCACTATAGCACTGCCCTCCTGTTGTTCACCGATTTGCTGAGAATCAACAAATTGTGAGAATTGTTACTGTTTTTGGCATATCGAATACGTCACGGGTAGCGTGCCAGGCTTTGCCATGTGGGTGAGATATTCTTGGTAGCTTGCTGAGCTCTCCGAGAGGGACAGAGGAATCGAACCTGGGTCAGCCAGGTGCAAGGTAAACACCCTACCTGCTGTGCTATCACTCCAGCCCCTAAGCACTACTAGAAGTAATTCCTAAGCGCAGAGCCAGGAGTAGGCCATGAAAACCACCAGTTTGGGCTAAAAAAAGATTAAAAAAAAAAGAAAAGAAAAGAACATGCTTCTAAAAGTGATGTTAGGGCAGGAGTGATAGTACCGTAGATAAGGTACTTGCCTTATGTACAGCTAACCTGGGGTCCCCTGAGTATGCCAGGAGTGATCCCTGATCTGAGGAGTAAGCCCCAAGTACAGCCAGATGTGGCCCAAAACCATTCCTCCGACCCCAAGCCCATTCCAAAAACATTTAAAAAGAAGAAAAAAAATAAGTTAATTGGATGATACCTCCCTGTTTTCAAACAATCTGAAATATAGAAGTGCTATTTTCTGATAATTTATATTATTTCAACTCTACTAAAGACAAAGAAGGAACAATCACTGATCTAATCCAAGAGTCCCATTTCAAAGCAGTAACAGATCCCCTTTACTCTGAAATTCCCTCTAATCAATTCTCTCACTCTATCTTTATTTTCCTATTTTCTGTTTCATAACTTCATCCATTAATCTTGTAACATGAGTACATGAATGGCATGTGAACTGCTTTCAGTATATCTTCCTACCATTTTTGCTAGCCAAGATTCAAAATGTAAGACTAAGAAGATGGCTCAAAGGGCTGGAAAGCATACTATTTCTGGGAGAACCGCAAGTAAATTCTGCACTATCTCATGTTCCCCAGTAAACACCACTGGGGTGATCCCTAAGAACTGAGTCAGAGTAAGCCCTGAGCACCATGGATGTGGGCCTAAACACCATCCCCCCCAAGAAAAGATAAAATAATAAACGAGTTCCATGAACAAATTAAAACATCTCCCAGTCAAAGTACAAGGTTAAAAAGCTTTTTAAGTCAAATATTTATGCTTGTTCAAAGTGTACTGTTTTTCATGGTTCACCAGAGCAAAACTGCTCATGCAAACAGTACCAAGTACAAGAGAGAAAGGGCATCATGCCAGTTCAAGCTCACTTTATCTCTCAAGCACTGCTATGAGGATTAATGACCTTCAAGAGAATTGTGTTTCCCCATTATATTTCAATGTTAAAGTTTGCTTAATTCTTTTTTTAAAGTATCATTTCTTTAAATCAGTTATTTAAGGTATGTTCAAGAACTACTAAAAAAATACAAAGAAATAAAGGGATTAGGGTGGGAGACAGTTAAGTGGTTAGTGCATATGCCTCATATGTGCCCAACTTGGGTTCAATCCCCCATATAACATGATCCTCATAGCATTGCCAGGTGCAATCCCAGAGGCCCCCCAAAAGCATCAAGTCCAGAAACAGAGACCTTCAGCATTACCAAGGTGACCTGGGTATCTCTGGCACTGAAGTTAGCAGCATCACACTTTCAATTCAAGTCACTGCATTGAAACTACAGTCCAAATGGTCAAGAATTGCTGGTGTGGGGCTGGAGCAATAGCACAGCGGGTAGGGCGTTTGCCTTGCACGCAGCCAACATGGCCGATACAGGTTCGATTCGCAGCATCCCATATGGTCCCCCGAGTACCGCCAGGAGTGATTCCTGAGTGCATGAGCCAGGAGTGACCCCTGAGCATCGTTGGGTGTGACCCAAAAAGCAAAAAAAAAAAAAAAAGAATTGCTGGTGACCCCCACCCTAGACTTCCTAAGGATCACCTGGAAATTCCCACCCCCCCCAAGAAATTTTAAAACTCAACACATCAAAGTCTCAAGATATGATTAAACAGAAAAAAATTTAAAAGTACCAAACAAATTCTGAAGAGAATCAAACATAATGAAAATGACTAATTCACTAGAACACTGCAGCAGATTTGAGTAAGCTGAAAGATCAGTGCTTTAACATGAGATTTTTCTAGTTTACAGAACAGAGGAAAAACTGGAAAAATGAGGAGATCTAGAAACACAGGACACTAATAAATATACCGTCTATGTGTAATGGAAGTTCTAAAAGTAGAGAAGAACAGAAAAACTAAGAAAATAGTAGCTATAAATTTCTCAAATTTGATGAAAATATCATGAAAAAAGTTATCAAAAGAGAACTGGATTGGCAATACTACTGTAAAACTAAATGGATTATGCAACAAGAAACTTTTGAAACAACAAAGAACATTATATTACAATAAGAGAAACACAAATAATATAACCCAAGGAAAAGCCCCAAGATATAGGAAGCAAAAATTCAAAGAACTGAAGGAAAACACAGACAATAAACAGTACTTAGACTCCAAGCTCCCTCTTCATAAGGAACAAGAGATAAAACAAGCAACAAAGACAGTCTTGAACGATGGGTAAGCAAACTAGAACTAACCAATGTCTAGATACCATATCTCTCAACATCAGTAGAATATAGATTTTCCTCAAGTGCATCTGAAGCAATTTCCATAAAACTCATTATATATAAATACACATATAACAAATACTGGGAAATTAAGCAAAAGACTGCCAAGTAACCTATGAGTCAAAAACATATCCTAAGAGTAGTTAGAAGATAATCTCGAATGAATGAAGATGAGAATACAACATACCAAAACTATGGAATATGGGAGAGAAATTTATAGCTGAAAACGCTAAATTAGAAAAGAATAAGAGCTAATAAAACTTAAGTTACTAATAAATCAAATTAAACTAGAAACAAAAGGAAGAGATAAAGTATTAGAATAAAAATTAATCAAAAACCCAAAAAATCAATAAACAAAACCCTTTCTCTGTAAAGACCAACATAATATATGAATACATGTATGCCACAAATTAGATGACTTAAATGAAATGGGCAAATTCTATAAAGTCACAAACTTCCTTACTGACTCAAGATGAAAAATAAAGTGGTGGGATGAACAAAGAGTATAGCAGGTAAAACACACTTACTCTACATATACTTGACCTGGATTCAATACCCAGCACCAGATATGGTCCTCGGAACATCACCAGAAGTGACCTCCAAGCACAGAGCTAGAAGTGAGCCCTCTAGAAGTGAGCCCTGAGCACAACTGGTGTCACACACACACACACACCACACACACACACACACACACACACACAAACCAAAAAAAAAAAATAAAGAAAAAAGAAAAGAAAAAGAAAATCCGAATAGACTAAATAAGAGGTTGACTTGAGAAATTTAAAGCTTCAGACAAAAAGAAAGTTCAAGCAAAATGATTCTAACATTGACCCACCATACATTACAAACAGTTCAGCTCAAATTCTTAGACTCTTGCCCAAAACACAATAACGAATATTCCCTAATTCAGTGAAGCCAATATTACACTGATAACAAAACCAGTAGACATTACAGAAAAACTAAAGACCAATATCTTGATGAATATATACATATGAATCCAAAACAAAACACTAAAAACCAAATCCAGCAAAGAATAAAGGATTATATACCAAAGCCAAATGGTATTTACCCCAGGAATAAAATTACTCAGCTGTACTCATCCCCCTCAATTTTTGTTCCTTAAGCTCCTTTTGTGCAAAGATGACAATTTTCTCATCTTTTATTTTCAGTCACATACCAGCAGTGTATGCCCAGGGAAGAAGACACAGACACATGCCTGTGGGTTGCTTGGAGACCAGAATGTTCTTGTAAATCACATTTGCAAACCCAAGGGACTCTGTAGAGTGCTAAGATTCTTCTAGTTTTCAGGTTTTCACACTTACTCAGCCTACCACTGTTTCATTTTTGGTTTTATTTTTTTCAGGAAAAAGTTTATTCGTTATTGCCCCACCCCCAGCACTGGCTGGAGCGTCAGCACAGCAGGTAGGGCATTTGCCTTGCACGCGGCCAACCCGGGTTCAATTCCTCTGTCCCTCTCGGAGAGCCCGGCAAGCTACCAAGAGTATCCCGCCTGCACGGCAGAACCTGGCAAGCTCCCCCTGGTGTATTCGATATGCCAAAAACAGTAAAAACAAGTCTCACAATGGAGACGTTACTGGTGCCCGTTCGAGCAAATCAATGAACAACAGAACAGTGCTACAGTGCTACCAGTAACAAATGTATCATTATGAGTAGCACACATATCCCATCTGCACTTTATTTCTTTAAACTGCTTTACTTTTTCTATTATCAGATGTACAAGTTTGTTCGTTCCTTGCTATATCTTACATTGCTTAAAGGCAACATAACATTGATAGATGATGATTTAAATAATGACATCATAAATTCTAGAACATCCTGCATTAGTTCCTAAGTAACAATATATAACTTACCTGAGTTCTTCTGGTTTTGATGTACTTGCTGAAAAAACAAATACCCCATTAGTTTATTCTTATGTGGAAAATAATTTCACTATTCATAAAGTTTACTTGTTCCATAAACTATAGTTTCCCAACCTCCCAAACTATAGAGTCCCAATTATAAATTAAAAAATCTGAGGCTGGAGTGGTAGTACAATAGGAAGGGGGTTCTTTGCACCTGGCTGACACAAGTTCGCTTCTTGGCACCCCTAATGGTCCCCTAAGCACTGCAGGAGTGATCCCTGAGGAGAGTTAAGAGTAGGTCCTGAGCCAGATATGGCTGGAAACCAAAATAAATTAATGAATGAATAAATGAATAGTGAAAATCTCTAGTTCAAAAATAATCTAAGTTCATAATGTGTCAACAGTAATTATTTTCATTTTATTTTTATTTAGTTATTTTTGTTTTTGAGGGCACACTACGCTATGCTAATAAGTTCTTACTTTTGGCTCCGAGGACAGGGATGAGGACCACTCCTGGTGGGCTTAGGGGACCACATGGGATGCTGTGGATTGAACCTGGGCAGGTCACATGCAAGGTAAGTGTCCTGCCTGCTGTATTACCTTTCCGGTCCCAATTTCCATTTTTAAAATAATAAAGCAAAAAGTTAAGCATATATAACTATCTGCAAGCCTCCAGAGCTGAGTTGAAAGACAATGAAATACTGCCAGAGAAGGGGCTGGAGCAATAGTACAGCACAGGACACCAATTTGCATGTGACTGACCCAGGTTCAATTCCCAGCACCAGATATGGTCCCCTGAGCACCACACTGGGTGTGACTCAAAAACCAAAACAAACAAATATCTTCCTCTAAGTAAAAACCAGTGCATGGTAACTTCCCAAGGAAGAACAGTCCTCGGAAACAGGACTGCATTTTTCACCTTTCATTTGTAGAGTTCGTCGGGAATATCGTTTGCTGGGCCTTCTTTCAAAAGATGCAGATCTTCTTGCTTTACTAGTTTTTGTGGTCTGATACTCAGTTTTCCCACTAAAATAAATGAATAATTATTAACAAGAATAAGAGAAACTTGATAATATCAGACAGACAAATTCTATAATCAAATACTGATAATATGATACATATAAATTCTATAATCAAAATGTTCTTAATTAGAAGCATTCTAGGGGCCAGAAGTACAACTAGAAGTGCCCTATATGCAGGAAGTTCCAGGTTCAATCCCTAGCATCTCATAGTCCATTGAAGATTAATTACAGTGTAACCTGAGCTCCACATCAATGCCCCCCCACCAAAAAAATCACCCCAAACTTTATCCCAAAGAAGTTACTAAGTCTCTTTAATCACATTATGTGATAAATGCTGTGTGAAATATGCAAGACAAAGGGTAATGCTTTTCAGTGAGGCATATTATGAGAACATATTAAATAAGTTTGAACTATTTATAGTTCAATCATCCTCTTCTGACCACACTTCTCAATGCAAAGTGTGTACTGAACTTAGCTTTCGGTTACTTTTTCTAACTGTAGTAGACATTTAAGATTTTTCCAAAATTATTTAAAACTGTTGTCAGACTCTCCACCATTTTCACTTAATTGTTAAGCAAAAGTCTATTTTTAATGTAGGTTGAACAGAAGTTCCCTTGCATGAATTTGCCACCAACAAGTTGCCATACCGTTGTACTACACTTTCTTTCTTTAAATCACACTGACTGAATATCATGGCATACTAAAGTCACAGTCGTTATCTTATATACACAAGTAAACCAAAACCTCTCTACTACTAATAAAAGAATATAAATGAAGAACCTGAGAGAATAATGGTATGTAAGGATATAAAGCACCAGAAATGTTATCCAGATAAATATTCCAACCAGTGGGAAATTTTTCTACAACAGCATTCAGCTACTAAATGGAGACTTCTTAAACGTCCTGTTATCTGACTTTAAGTTGAGGGAGAATATATAGATTTTCATTCTTTCTTTGTTTTCTTAAATAATGAAGATCAGAGGAAGACTACATACTTTGCATGCACAATACTCTGGATATTTCCCCCCCGAACATATAGAAACCCACCACCCAAAACCTTCAAAGACACACACACACACACACACACACACACACACATGCACACACACACACAATATTAAGGGATATGAAATCCATGACATAATTACAATATTTTCTGTCTGGTCAGAATATTATAACTTATAGCATTACCAATTTCCTTTTTTTGGTTGACCAATGGGAAACATTGGCAAACAGATTTTCATGTATGACTTAGTTCCCAAATATGTAAGATAAGGGGTTGACCAAACTGTTTGGTCAGTATAAAATATAGAGCAAGCAGTTATTGACATTAACCTGTATCTAAATCGTGATCCCAGTCGAATAAATCCTGACCGCTGATTACTCTTTTGGACAGGACCTCGGAGACGGAAAAAGGCATGATGTTCCACAGCACATTTCCACAAGTGTTTACATGCTTTGGGATGTTCCAGTCTAAAAACAAATGTATGCTCTTGCTCTTTGCCCTGACAAACAAAAGCACAGGAGAGATAATTATTAGGTAGCTAAACACCCCCATTCCAAATTACTCAGCTATAAACACAACCACAGTCATATCAAGAATCAAATATGTCCACATCCTTAGAAATGTTTCCTATTTGGGGCCAGAAAGTAGACAGAACATTAAGGAGCTTGACTTATATGCAGCCAACCTGGTTCAATCCCAGGTACCTCAAATAGTCCCTTGAGTCCCACCAGGACTGATCCCTGGCTGCAGAGCCAGGAGTAAGCCCTGAGCATCAGGTGTGAACTCCACCCCATCCCATGCAACAACAACAACAAAAAGAGTTTAAAGAATTTAAATGTGTCCACACATTTTGCCACAGTATTCATACTTGCTGGGATCCAGTTCAAATAATTAACATCCACACCTTTCCAAGGGTTTTATATGATTATTTCCAAGAATACATATTATCACCAACCGCATTTCACAGATCACTTCTTCAGCCTTGTTTTCCTTATGACCAAGATCATTCAGATAATAAGAAAACATAGAATTTGAACCAAGTCATTTGGATTTCCAATTATAAATTTGTCGTAACCTATACAATTTTCAATGCAAAAAGATTCCGCATATATAAACTAAAATTTATACTCTATAATTTTTTTAAAAATCTCATTTATAGTACAAAACATTGGCACAAAACCCTAATATTTCCAAGAATTAACCAATAATATATTTTATACAGATGTAATAAAAGATTAATGCATTACTATTTATTAATACTACAGAACATTATATATAGGTCAAAATGAATGAATTAGAATCACGTGATTACACAATTAGGAAAAATAAATAAAAATAATAATAATAATAAAGGCCCTCCCGTTGATCATCAATTTGCTCGAGCGGGCCCAGCATTGGAGACTTTGTTGTTACTGTGTCTGGCATATCGAATACTCTCAGTAGCTTGCTGGGCTCTCCGAGAGGGGCGGAGGAATCGAACTCGGGTCGGCCATGTTGGCTGCATGCAAGGCAGACGCCCTACCCGCTGTGCTATCGCTCCAGCCCAGGAAAAATAAATAAGCTGCATAAACATCAAACATATGGTTTCTGTAAAAAAATTTAAATAATGCTATTATGCATATATATTTGTGAAAATTTAGAAAATGTAAGGATGGTAACTCTCCAAGAATAATAATCAGCAGTCAGGAAGAAAGGGAAGAGCAGAAGGCTTAGATCTTAGCTATGTCAAATATACTACCGTTAATTCATCTATTTCTAAAAGATTTCTGAAGGAGCTGAAGTGGTAATATAGCAGGTAGTGCACCTGCCTTGCATGCACTACAGACTCAATCTTGAACCCTGGTACCGCAGATGGTTCCCCTAGCCCTGCCAAGAATGATCCCTTAGTGCAGACACAGAAATAAGCCCTGAGCACTACCAGATGTAGCCCCAAAACACACCAAAACAAATAACAAAACAGAAATAAGGGCTTCAAAGAATGTGTAGAATAAAGAGCCCTCATTCACTGATGGTAGGGACATATTCTGGTTAAGGTCCTATGAAAACAGTACAGAGATGTCTCAAAAAAAAAAAAAATGAAAATCTGAATGGACTATGCATTAAGCTATGGCGCCGTGCCCCCCTGGGAGGGAAAGCATGTCTGTCTCTTCTGCCTTCCTCCCTTCCTCCCCCTGCCCTGAGTGGCATGGTGGCCAGGTATGAGCCGACGGTGAAGGGGCAACTGCAGCCTCATGGGATTGGGGGGGGGGGGGAACCAGCACGTCCGTCCCACCCTGCCGAGACCACAAGTTGCCCCCTCTCCCTCCCAGCCACAAGTAGCTCTCTGGCAAGGCCATGGACCCAGAGGCACACAAACCAATCTCGGAACTATGCGGTTTTTGGCAGAAATCCCTCCAGACTTAATTAGTAAAATATCAAAAATCCAAAATCGCACAGCACAATGGCGGCCGCATGACATCATACAGTCTTTATAACCAGCAATAGAAAACAAATTATTTCACGATGCCTTATCAGCAAGTCTGACTGTTGGGTTAAATTTCCAAATAATAATGGTGCATCTTCTGTCGAAATAATGAATGTAATCAAAGTAGAGAGAGAGTTAAGTGGAAATCATCTGCCTCACAGGCATGGGGAGGGGTGGGATGGGGTTTCTACTGGGGTTCTAGGTGGTAGAAAATTGGCACTGTTGAAGGGATGGGTGTTTGATCATTGTATGACCGAGACTTAAACCTGAAGGCTCTGTAACTCTTCTCACGGTGATTCAATAAATTAAAAACAAAACAAAACAAAAAAGAACTGCACAATACTGGACCTAGTCCTGAGGTCCCAGCATAATCAGGGGCTTTGTAATAGCTTCTCTCTGGGGAAAGAGAGTAGAGAGGCTGTTCAGAATAGCAGCAAGAAAGCTTTGATCTGGTATGATCTCTGCTTCGGAAAAAAAAAAAATCCCTTATGATAATTTTTAATTCTATTCTTTTACCATGCTAAGGTGGTTAATCAGAATTTACACTTCCCAAGTCAATTAAAAACCTATCCCAGATTTGTATATTCCCTGGAGTTCCTGGAAATTATGGAAAATTACCTTCTCCCACCCACTCCCATACTTGGGGATCATCAGGGAGATATCCAGTGGTGCTAGAGGGATGATGCAGTGCCAGGACTCAAATCTAGGGTTTTATACTCTTAGAAAAGTGCTCTATAACTGGAGCTATCTCCAGTAATAGAGGTTTCATGCAAAACCCTCTTCATGGGTCAACTTTACAAAAGATACTTAGTACTAGGGCTAATACTAAAAGTTTCCTGATAAGATGGTTTAACACTGAATATGAGTTAATGATCAAAAAATTATAGGTCATAGAAGGAAATTATTTATCATTTTAGAAGTCAATAGACACAGCTGTTGCAGACAGGAAGCTAGGGGGACCTTGTAATTTATGGTGGGGAAAACAGCATTTAAAGTTTAAACTAGTCCCAAAACATAGAGGCCTTTGACACAAATGACCCATCTCAGAAGCCCAGAAAGTAAGAGATGCAAGTTTCCAGGCCCAAGCACAGATGCAGCCTGGATTCCCGAGACGAGAGGTAGCTGTGCCTGTGGGAAGAGAGGCTCCACCACAGGAATTAAGGCCATACAAACAACATAAAAACCAGACCATCCTCTGCTCCAAATTCCCCCCCTGGCAACTTCCCTAGCAACAAACAGGCGGGGGGTGGGGGGGTGGATGGCTTGGGCAGTATATATAAACTAAACTAACTTGACAGAGAAGAGGCACACACATGCTGCCCACACACATGCCACCTGCATCTCCCCTCTGAAGATGTGGCCTTTCATACTTGAACATTGGGATATATACTGGCTCTCTGTTCTCGAAGCCCATGTTCCTGCTTGCCTCTGTATCCTAATCTACCTTTCTCCTTTCTTCCCTTCATTTCCCTAATAAACTTAAAGAAAATTTAATTATCAAATGAACCAACAATTTTACTCCTAATTGTAGCTAGATATCTATTCCAAGAACACAAAAACACTAAGTTGAAAAACATATACTCCTACAATTACTGCAGTGCTATTTGTAATAGTCAGAATTCAGACAGAGTGCAAGTGCTCCCCAAAAGAAAGAAATAAGTTGTAGTTTATACTGATAGGAAGTGATCTAAAATCATCAGAAGCATAGAAAAAGAATATAGAATCATAGTTGTCAGAAAAAAGTGTTGGAGAAAATGGGTTTAAGGTTGAATCCATAAGATGAAAATGTTCTGGGCATCTAAGATAACTGCATAGTGGAAACACAATGTAAATCTAGTAGTATTCTAGTCTTTCATCTAGGTGCTGACCATCGCTATATATTTATTTCTGCACTAATGTGAATTGTGGGCTGGAGCGATAGCACAGCGGGTAGGGCGTTTGCCTTGCACGCGGCCAACATGGCCGACCCGAGTTTGATTCCTCCGCCCCTCTCGGAGAGCCCGGCAAGCTACCGAGAGTATTCGATATGCCAGACACAGTAATAACAAAGTCTCCAATGGAGACGTTACTGGGCCCGCTCGAGCAAATCGATGATCAACGGGAGGGCCTTTACCTTTACCTTTACCTTAATGTGAATGTACAATGAACCAAACCACAAAAACTACAAAAACTTTAAAGTTAAGCAAAAAAATCTTTGACACAAAAAGACAAAGATTGATAAGTTCACCGTTTCTGCTGTTTTTCTCAGTTCCAGCGAGGAACCCCAAGTTTTCACATACACAAGTCATGTATGTGAGAACCTGTATATGTATGTACACTATATATGTGTGTATGTAATGAGTTATTATGTATGTAATGGCTACATCCCCGGTTCCAGTTTTATAAAGTATATGATAAAATCCACCATAATCAATGCTAATAAGAAATACAATTAGTAAAATCTGTGTAATTTCTATGACTAAGGGCAAAACTTTTAAGAAACAAAGTCAACAACTCCAAAGAAAATTAGGTAAAGTATACGAACTGGACATATAACTAAAAGCTGGACAGTAAGTAAAATGTTTTAATTCAAATTTTTATGTAAAATTTTCTGTTCATAAAAATCTATGTGAAATTCTATTTTTATCTTTCGGATTAAAATATCATAAACTCAAGCAGAAAACAGGTTTATGCACTTATAAAAAAACAACTTGAGATTTTAAATGCATTAACGCCATGATCTAGAGACTCACAAATGAATCTTGGAACTGAAAACCTCACCCACAGATGTTCCAGACCTTGTGTCAGGCCAATTTCACCCAGGTGCCTCAGACGGGAGCAGGTGTCAGCCCTCTACCTGCCCCATATGAATCCTGATGACTGCAAACCTCCAGAACCCAATGAAAATCCCAGGTCCATGGGACCAGTGACTGCAAATTCCAGGCCTCAAGGGATCAGGGACTGGCTGCTCCTTCCCATCTCCACACCCCTTCAGGTCCTGGCTGTCATGCCCACGAATTGCCTCTGGGTGTCATTTAAGTGCATTAACGGCCAAG